AACTGCGGAACGGCCCATTGGGCTGTCTCCATGGTGGGTCGGATTGGCCACGGCAGCCAAGAGCAACCGTGCAACCAATGGAGATAGCTACTCCATGGATGTTGTGACATGCAGGACACGACAACTCACTCACAAAGGCGGAGGCACAGAGAGGAAGTACACATGAAAAATTTCAGACAAGAAACCCCCCCCCCCAAAAAAAAAATAAAAAAAAAAATAGAACGAAATAGAAATAGAATACGTGAAGATTGAGCGTACAAGTGATGCTACAGTGCATTGGCGGCCATGATTTGTTTCTGAAGGGTCCAATCGTCTGGGGATACAGGGTAAGTGGAGGGTTGGAGACGTTGAACAGCAAATTCAAACTCCCCCGTCGAGTACAACACATGGCGGTCTGTTCTTTGCGTGCGACTAAGAGTTATGCTAAATATATTGACGAGAGAGCCCCCACGACATTGGGTTTAACGGAATAGCGCCTCAATGCACATTCCATATTCTATTATACATACAGAGTATTCTCAACACCTATTGCCACTACAAGTTTTCAGCCATAGCTCCTACAGATTCGCCTGCTGCCTGGCAAAGAACTTCTTGGTTTCTGTACACCTCTCGCTCTTGCAGCTGGGGCATCGAAGATTCATTTGCTTGGAACAAGCTTCGCCACTCCTCAAATGTGCCTTGGCAATATCTGCAAGAGCCTCAATAAAGACCGGGCTACCATTAAGACTGTCCGCTCGCTTAATCGTGTCCGTGTGACCACTCTCGCCTATGACTTCATGGTCCAACTCGTACAACGTCTCGATATGGTCGGACGTGAAAGCGATGGGTATTAAAACCAAGTCCTTTTGACCCTTGGCAACATACTGTTCCACCGTGGTGGCCGTCTGAGGGCCGAGCCATGCAGATGGACCAACCTGAGATTGCCAGCATAGGCGGTACGGGTTGGAGAACCTAAGTCGTTCCATGACGGCGTAAACGGTGGCGGCAACCTCGCCAGGATAAGGGTCACCTCTGTTGACAACAGACATGGGAAGACTGTGGGCGGAAAACAAGAGGACAACATCCTTTCGGCGGCTCTCGGGATATTCGGCCAACTTGGCTTCAATGTTCTGCGCAAAAGCCTCGACAAGCCCAGAGTGAGCTGGCCATCTGTCGATGACGCTCCAAGTAATGGTGCCCTCTCCGCTTTCATCCACCCTCTTTCCTTCCAGTCGTTGCCTCCACTTCCACAGCTCGTTCAGACTGGAACCAGTGGTGGAGCACGAGTATTGGGGGTATTGAGTAAAAGCAACAGCTCGGCCACCCTTGCCATTACCGAAGCCATCTGCAAGAAGTTGTTGGTACATTTCCTCAGTTAGAGGATCAGCGTATCTGAAAGCCACATAGGGCTTGTGGGGTGCAGTTTCTGGAGATGTCTTGTCCAATATCTTGCACATTTCGGCGCTCTGGTATTCGGACCATTTTCGAATTGGTGAGCCGCCGCCAATGGCGGCGTACTGTTTCTGAATCATGGGTGTTCGTCGCTTCGAGAGGAGGGGGCCCAAGTAACCTTGCAGTCGACCCAGCGGAATCAAATCGCCGTCGGACTGAGAATCGCAAATTGTTAGCAGGGCATTGGACTACTAGTGACGGTACGCCATTGAAAGTATACATACGAACAGGCGACTCAGGAAATCGCCAACTTCGTCGGTCTTCGATGGCCCTCCCATGTTGAGGAACACCATTGCGGTTGGACCTTTCGAGCCCGTTGCATCCTGGGTGACAGGCGGAACAGGCGTCGCAAATTGCCGAGTTTGCGTTGCAACTTGGGGCAGGACAAGTCGGGAAGATGAATTTCCCGATAATCCCCTTAGGAGCTGTTGTGTACAGATCCGTGATGACATGATCAATAAACTTGAATTCCAATGGCTGAGAACAAAAAATCAGCCGTTGTGAAGAGGATGAGCGGTGCAAGTTCCAAAAAGCCGATGCTCCGAGTGTAGTTCTGCACTCGGGATCGGGAACGGACCATATTTATGATGCAAGTAATTCTGGCGCCAAGACAAGCCGGAACAGTTATGGAGGTACATAATAATTGCTGAAAATAATCATATGTGAGCGAGTTTCTTTTAACAACCTTCAGATCTGTCCAATGGCATCAAAGGCAATAAAAGGTAATGGATCACGTGATACCGCGACAACCTGCGCAACTGCGCGATGCGCCCGACCGTTAGGGCGCGTTTGCCTGGAGCTGCGACGGCGGAGGCCCACAACCGTCATTCACAGTTTTCAACGCGTTCAGCATGCTGTGTCCGAATTGTTTCTACTCGGATTAAACAAAATTGACTTAATAATGGCGGAAAACGGCCAGGATTGGAAGAGGGAGGACGAAGATGATGGGGATCAAGAGATTGACGAGACGGTAATATGCGCCAATACATCATTCATTCACTAGTCGTTCATGACATGGCCCTGACAATCACCTAGACATACAAGGCACAGAAAGATGCCATCATAATGGCTATTGAAGTTAGCGACTCTATGCTTAAGCCGCCACCGCCATCTGATTCAAAGAAGGCGGACCAAGACAGTGCTCTCGAGGCAGCCCTAAAATGCGCGTACCATTTGATGGAGCAACGCATCATATCAAACCCTAAGGATATGATGGGCATTCTACTATTTGGAACTAAAAAGACTAAATTTTATAATGACGAAGACGGCCGCAATGGCCTGGGATATCCTAACTGCTATCTTTTCACGGACCTTGACATTCCCGCTGCGGATGATGTCAAGGTGCTTAAGAATCTTGTTGAGGATGGTGAAGACGACGACGAAGTGTTGACGCCATCAAGTGACCGTGCCATCATGTCGAACGTGCTCTTCTGCGCAAACCAAATCTTTACGACAAAGGCCGCAAATTTTGGAAGCCGACGCCTATTCATCATTACTGACAATGACAATCCTCACCCTTCCGACAAGGCTGCTATGTCAGCAGCTGCGGTTCGAGCTAAAGATCTTTATGACTTGGGCGTCACAATTGATTTATTCCCAATCACCAGAGGTGATTCCAAGTTTGACTTGTCGAAGTTCTACGATGTAAGTTATCCACCTCGTTTGACTATCATGCTCTGGTAGTTGTGACTAATGCAGACAGGATATCGTGTACCGTGATCCAATTGCGGAAGCCAACAGCACTGCGGTGGCGATTTCCAAGTCGGGCGACGGGTTATCCCTTCTAAGCTCTTTGACCTCAAACATAAACTCGAAACAGACGCCGAAACGAGCCATGTTTTCAAACTTGCCATTTGAGATTGCGCCTGGTTTGCGAATCTCAGTTAAAGGATATAATGTTCTCCATCGACAAACACCAGCCAGGACATGTTACATTTGGTTGGATGGAGAAAAGCCTCAGATTGCCGCTGGTGAAACTACAAGACTGGCCGAGGACAGCATCAGAACGGTTGAGAAAGGGGAGATGAAGAAGGCGTACAAGTTTGGTGGCGAATACGTCTGCTTTACCCCTGACGAGCAAAAGTCTCTCAGGGATTTCGGACCGCCTGTTATTCGCATCATTGGCTTCAAACCCCGCAAGTTGTTACCAATGTGGGCTAGCGTCAAGAAGTCGACATTCATCTTCCCCAGTGAAGAGGATTTTGTTGGTTCCACTCGTGTATTCACAGCATTATGGCAAAAGTTGATCAAAGACAACAAAATAGGCATTGCGTGGTGTATCGTACGGAGCAATGCCCAACCAATTCTAGCTGCCATCGTGCCGTCCAGGGAACCGTCTGATGAAAAATCTGGAACGCCATATTTGCCAGCGGGACTTTGGATATACCCACTGCCTTTTGCCGATGACTTGAGAGAGATCAAGCCTCCAGATGGAGTGACGCAAAGCTCTGATGAGCTGAAGACGCAAATGAGAACGATTGTGCAGCAGCTACAGCTGCCAAAGGCAATGTATAATCCGCTCAAGTACCCCAACCCAGCGCTGCAATGGCACTACAAGATTCTCAAAGCTCTTGCTCTGGAAGAGGAAGTGCCGGAGACGGCCGAGGACGCCACCAAGCCGAAGTACAAGGCCATCAGCAAGCGGGCGGGTGGTTACTTGGAAGAGTGGTCGGAAAAACTTGAAGAAGATGCGGGAACGGCTAGGACGTCCAAATCGCTGAAACGGGAAGCCGATGATGAAGCATCCGATCGTCCAGTAAAGCAAAGGCGCGGCGCGTCGTCAGGGCAGCTGAATCCGTCTTCCATGTCGGTGGCGGAGCTCAAAGAAGCCATTACAAGCGGAGCAATCATGAAAATGACGCTTTCTCAGCTGAGAGATGTAGCCGGCTCCAAGGGGCTCAGCACGGCAGGGAAGAAGGCAGAACTGGCGGAGAGAATAGAGCAATGGATAGACGATAACGCGTAGAACTGTACTTGGGACTGTGCAGCAGTGTATAAGCGCACTAATATTCTGAACAGAGTTTGAATTGTGCCTTTGACAGTTTTCGACTGCTTTCATTGGTGACCTGAGCTCTTGGACACTGCATAAAAACTTGTGAGCAGTGTTTGACTGCCAAGTGACAATAATAAGTCGCGAGTCGGATGTCTATGCTATGCCAGCCTTTAGGAAGAATAAAAAAAAACGACAAGATTCTGTGTGTTACAAAACATAACACGAGCATTTTACTGGCGCAGATATTTTACTCCCAATAATTAGTTCCCGGAGGCTCAACTGCCATGGCCACATTGCGCGCGTGCTGGATCTGAATCGTCACTTTGAAGTGCGACTGACAAGCAGAGCGCGGCCCCCACAATGGTCAGCTGACCGTGGATACCAACGTCAATACCTTCCAAACCACCGTGGTTGGTTGGTCTTGCCATCGCAAACACGCCTGACATCACCACTTCGCGTTTTCTGTGAGGAGAGGCAACGCGCGTCCACTGGAGCAGCCATTGCGACGGCAGCGTCGTCGCGAATCCGTGGCCACCTAGGTTCCGGCCGAACATATTCCTGTCGCGCCACCCACGCAATGGCTGATTTCCTCGCCAGCTTCAATTTTGGAACCGACAATGAGGTTGCGCCAAACGACGGCGCGTGTGCATCGCTTGACCACCTCCAGGGTCGCCTTCGCGCTCTGATTGAAGAAAAAACGACAGCTACCCGAGCCGAACATGTCAGCACGACGGTCGATGTTGCCGGCACGGCAGAGTTTGCTGTGGATTTGACACAGGGAGACAAAGATAATATGAATAACGTTGACCCGTTGCTTTCGGGCGGAGCAGAGGATACTGATCGGAGGCACGAGGGCCAGACGCATGTGTATACGGCCATGGATGTGCTGAGGGACCAGCCCAGCCAGGCGCCTGTGGTTCAGAAGGCTGTGGCGGAACAGATTGCCACGGCTGCTGGTGTTGAAGACAAGAGTGTGTGGGCGTTGCATAGCTTCGAATCTGCAGCCCACGGGTGGGATTTCACCTTTATATGTGAGCAGTCGGTTCAGCATTGGAAAGCGCAGAACGAGGGGAAGACGAAGGCTATTGTCGGGGAGTACACCAAGAAGGAACCCGATCCGGTCTTAATGAGTAGGTCACAGTGCTTGTTGCTTGTGCGCAGGGTGTTACTTTCTAACTTGATTTACTAGGTCGACCGGCATTTGACTGTAGAGGACGACTACTCATTACCTTTTCAAGAAAAGCCCGTACAATATCCGTCAAGTACAACCATACAATCATGCACAAATCTGTCGCCGACCTCACAGAGTTATTTAAACCCCCGCCCATGATTGGGCCGCAGAAGCCAGATAAAAAGACGTTAGCCAAGGCTGCCAAATTGGCACAGGAAGAAGCCGCCAAAGTCAGAAGAAAGAAGAACACGGAGCATCAAAGGGGGCAAGATGGCGAGTCTAAAGGGCAAAGAAGGAGGAGGAATAAAAAAGCAGCCGGGGAGACGCAGCAAGCGCACCTGTCGTTGGTGGAACAAGCCGCCCAGGCTTTGGATCATGCTGACATGTCGCGACTTGGTGAAGCTGTTGCTGCGATGAATAACGATGACGATGGACATGGTTCTGCCGTGGGATGGGGAACGAACCCGAGCGCTGGTTCTGCTATCAAGCCGTTATCTCTTAACGTAACTCCAGAGGAGGCAGCGCGTCGGAAAGACGTCGCGAGTAAGCTGTTGACCGAGGCTGGCGTGAGTCCTGACTCGCTCTCTACCGACCAGTTCAACATCTTTGCAAACCAGGCACCAGAGCTTCAGAAGGAATCCCTTAACATGTTGGTTACATATGGAGCGCAGCGACTGCAGATCATCCATCCCAGTAATAAGGAAAGCTCAGCTCCAGTACCTCAGTCCGACGTCTCTCCGTCAGGTGAGGGAGCAGCCTCTGGTGCGAGGACGACAACAACAGAACTCGTCCTGGAAGACTCGACTCCAAAGGGCAAACGGAAGCGAAGTTCGAGACCACTTGGAAAGTCGCGGCTCTCTTGTTTTACATGCAAGAAGCGCAGAGTCAGGGTTTGTTTCCTTTCTTCATCCCTCATTTTTGCCCATGTTTTGTATGATACAGGATGCTAACACCAATGTGATGTAGTGTCCGAGGGAGAGACCGACCTGCTCAGAGTGCCAAGACAGCCAAGCTGAATGCCATTATCCGCCGCAGCCTTCACGAAAGCCAAAGCAAAAGTCTGATGCACTCGCGACCGATGATGCTGATGCCGATGCTGAGGCTGACGATGACAATGTTGAAGGGGAGGCTGATGAGACTGTCATGACTGAGGCAAACGCCAATGATACCTCCATGACAGAGGCAAATGCTAACGCAGGGCAACAAGAAGCGCCCCAGGATGACAACGACTTTAGTTCGGACCCGGGTGCGCCATACTCCTACCCCCAAATCCCTGGGCCGGACTTGGTTCGTGATTCCGCGCATGATCTCGCCCACAGTTTCCATCAACAGCCAACACAAGCTCCTTACTTCCAGTCGGCATCAGGACTGGCACTTCCGCAACCGGACCCTTTGGATGACGCACCAAGGTCTCAACTAAATAATGGCATGACCCTGTCGGAAAACAGCGCATATTACCCATCATATCCTCCCCCAGAACCTGCTCCTGAAACGGAACCACAACGTGAGCTTGAAGAACGACAGCCCGTTGAACCGAATATTCGTACCTCGAATCATAGAAGACAAGCTTCAAATAATACTCGAACAAATACCAATACCCAGAAATCAAGTTGGGCCCAGCAGCACGGCAATGATATGTTTATACCTACAGTCAGTGAAGCATCACCATTACTACAACACGGCCATCCAGTGTCACAGAGTCCCGACCTCGCGCCAGCAACTGCTCACATCAACATGGAAGACGCCGCTCTTTTGACACATGCTGCCACTCACAATCAGTCATACGCACCCAACTCCAGCATGAGGATACATCGTCCGACACCGCCGCAGCCGAAGTCTCCGTTTCTACCCCCGTATCACTCGCGCTCCGCGTCGCAGCAGAGCCATAGATCGTCTGGCATGATGGCGCATTCGAGATCAAGTGCGTTCCAAGCACGACCACCACCACCACCCGCAGCAGCAGCAGCAGCAGCAGACACGCACTCGAATATCCGGTATAACAATGTGCAGAGCCGGTCGTCAATAGGCGGATTGCCAACGGCACGATACGGGAGTAATGATGGGGTGGACTCTTCCAACAAAATTGGCTATAAGCCTTACTCGTACCAGAAGAGCGGGTCGAGTGCAGGTACAAGCAACCACGGTTATCAGTCGCAGTCGTTTCATTCGCCAATGACGTCTTCAGGAATGCACGGGTCGTTGGCAGCATATGCTGGGCTGCGGCCTGGACAGGGCACGCCGGGCGATAGGCAGGACCATCGGCAGGGGCAGCATGGCCAGCATGGCCAGCATGCACAGAATTGGCAAGGTGAGAGTCAGGGCAATGGATTTGGACAAAGTCAGAGGCATGGGTATAACTGGGGGATGGGGGAAGGTTGGAACCAGGGGCACAACCAGGGGCACTAGGTTGGTGCGTGGCTGGTTGGTTGATTGATTGATTAGTTCCTGTACATGCTGGAATTCGAGGCCGGTGAAGGCTTCTGCATATTAGTAGGGATTGATTTTCGAATGTACTCTTAGCTTATACCCGTCATGGTATTATCCCCTCGGGGCGGGGGCGCGTCGTGGTTATGGTGACGCTATAGTCATATTCTTTGACCTAGATTTATAACGGTACGGCGGTTATGCTGATTTTTTTTACGACAGGACATCCGAAGTGAGAGAATCTTGACATTTGGCCACACTTGATTTAATAGGTAATGTCTCGGGATAGTTGGTTGTGTTTCATGTACACGGGCACACACGTGGAAGGCTGACAAGGTTTGATACCAAAGCAATCAATTCTATTCAATGTCTATTGTCTATTATTATATATATGCCGACCTCGAGGTCTGCTCAACGCTCTCAACGCCGCGCCATGCAAAGCAAGGCAATGGTACACAGCATCACTGCTCCGAAGTGGCAAATTTACTCAGGGCGCGCAGACGCGCACCGTAAAAGTACAGCAGCCAGATGCCGACGATGCCAATGACGCTCAGGCCGCCGAGCAGCGAAACACCCCTGGCGACACCGAGGTTCCCGAAGAGCGGGTGGGCGAAGAGCACGCTCCCGCAGGCCATGGCGCTCCGGAAGAAGTCGTTTGCGGCGAACAGGCTGGCAGCGTACTGCGGGTAGCTCAGCGGGACGTAGACGAAGATGCACTGCATGACGACGAAGCAGGTGGCGGCGTAGATGGTGATGCCGGCGGTCGGGGCGATCCAGTGGACCGACTCGCGGGCGGTCCAGGCAAAGATGAACAGGCCGACGGTCGGGCCAAAGGAGGCGGGCAGCGCGGGCGCGAGGCGGCTCTCCTGGACGGGCAGGCCGAAGCGGCGGATGCGCGGGTCGACGTACAGGTAGAGGTAGGCGCAGTAGACGGCGGCGCCGAGGAGGCAGGCGACGAGGATGCAGAGGAAGACGAGCCCCGTCTGGCCGAGGTTCATGTGGTAGTGGACGGGGTAGACGAGGGGGAAGGCCTCGAAGAAGGAGTAGTAGATGCCGTAGATGATGGCGGTGTAGACCTGGACGAAGAGCACGGCCGGGTCCTTGAAGGTGATTTCGACGGGCTTGACGAGGGCGTCGAGCAGGGCGGCGCGGGGCCCGAGGCGGCGCTGGTCCAGCTCCGACTGCGACACGAGGCGCGGGCTG